AGAGATCATTAACACCATGTACGCTTTTTGCTTTTTAACCTGAATCTGAACATACCTTGTTACATTCTGACTGCAACTGAGACCATTTAAACTCCTGAGTGGTGCTCAATGCTGTTGTTTTGAACTGGTGATCACATCTCACTTTTATTTTTAGAGGAAATTGAGTTTGAAGAATTATTATTGTTATTGTTAGTCATTGTTATTATTTTCTCCTATCACACTGTTGCCCAGGAAAAATTTTGAATGCTTCTCCATCGCTTTTCCCACCAATCAAGGATGGAAATGTTCATCAGCAAGACCTGCAAAGTGGATTCAAAGTCACAGGCTGCACTGTGCATTTTGTCCTGGTAAGCGTCCTCTTGCCTAACATTGCGTAAGTTATGAAAAGGAATTTGCTTTTTTCTTTTCTTTCTGAAGGCAGAAGCAGGAAGAGCTATCAGGAATGTGTGGAAATCTTGAGATTGTTACTAGTAAAAACAGGAAGATGTGAGGGTTATGTTGCATTTGTGGTTTCTTGAGGTCCTGTCTTCTTCCTTCATATTATGGGGTGGGTTTTTTTCTTTCTCCTACCCTCAACAAACTGCCCTCTGAATCTTCTAGCCCATGTCTTTCTCCCTGTTGTACCCCCTAATGTAATGTAGGTACCCCTAATGGAGGTGGCAAGCCTCTCTAGATGTACTTTCAGCCACCTGCACACAACTAAAGATGTGCTTGCCGAGATCTCTCATGAGACTTTCTCTGCCCCATCCACATTGTCCATAACCTTCCTGAGACTGTTCACCGGCCTCTTCTGAAAGACTGCAAATATCCCCATTTTAGGAGGAATCTAGTCCGAAAGCAGTGATCCACCAGGAGCCGGTATCTGTGAAGGCAGACGACACCGAGGAGACGCTGTCAGAAAGGGTTAAAGAAGCCGAGTGCCGGGCTTTTCCCATCGCCCTGCAGCTGGTTGCCAGTGGAGCAGTGCAGTTAGGAGTTGATGGTAAAACCTACTGGAAACAAGAGAGCCAAAGTCCATGTCTTCAGGAAGAGAAGAGAGACTGCCCATCCTCTCTTGTGGCTCTGGAGCCTCAAGAAAACGATGTGGTGTAGCCAGGTTAATGAGTGGCTTGCTCTCTGCTCGTCTTTCCCTCCTCCTCCCTGCCCTTGGTGTGCTTCTCTCTGACTGCGGCGTATCAGTGTCACAGGTTTCTGTTCTGAGCTGTGATCCTTTTCCCTTGGCTTGCAGCTTTAGTTATGCTCCTTTTGCAAAATCGGCAGTGGAAGCCAAGCTATCATTTCAGATTTTGGATTTCTTTGTTCTGTTTTTCTATCTGTAAAGGAGATAACTGTGTTACAAATCAAAGAGGGTGCTTACCAGTGAAAATGGTCTAGTGCTTCAGAGGGGAATTAATTCTTCTGAAGGACAAATTTTTGTTGCCTGCATCACATTGCAGGGCACCAAGAGCTTCATAAAGCAACCACAAACAGGAACTTGGCTGCTGCGAGATGGTGACCAGCTCCTGTGGGATGCAAGAGGCTAGACATAGCAGGGCAGATCGGAAGTGAGGCCCAGGATGGCATGGTGTGCATTTGGGAGGGAACAAGCATTAGGGACAAATGCATAGTTCTGTGGGAGGAGGTGGGAGCCTACAAGGACCTTGTGAGCCCCACCACCACGAGAGCGCCTCAAGATACAGCGGAGAGGAGGGCGTGTAAACTGTGCACTGGTGTGGGAGCCAGAGACTAGTGAACTGCCAAGCAGAAGATCAAAAGGCCAAAAAGGCAAGGAACCTTTTTGAAGGCAAAACAAAGTGCAAAAAACTTGCCTTCACAGATTGCCAATATGATGTAATAGTGCGTGCTGAACATACATCTAGACACCTCGCTCCTTGAAAGGGAGTGACGCATGGACATTCCCAGAATTTCATATTAAAACATTTGGATCTTGAGGGATGAAAATTTGATTTAGAGGGACTAGAAATACCAAATTTCAGGCATTTTTCTTCCTTCATCCTTGAAATCAACAGAACAAGACATCCTCAGCTTAACTTGCAGTAGCAGGAAAATCTCGGTTGTCTTTGTTGACTGAATGATTGGCTTAGTCCAGAGAGTTGCTGCTGTTAAATAAAACCTTTTTCTGTGGGAAGCTTATTTTATATCTGTCAGAATAATAACTTGCATGCAAGTAACATAAATCAGAGGAAGAAAGCTAGCTAAGAAGCTACTGGAATGAAGTCAAAAGGAGGTGACCAGAGCTTAATTTTCCAGAGGAGAGATCACTAACAGCCATTAGATGCAGTGAAAATAGTCTGTCCTTGTTTTGGTATTATACTGCACTAGTCAAGGACATACTGTATATCACACTCTTGGCTGTATCAGGCTGTTTGAGAGCGTGAGTCGGCTCCGGTCAAAAAGTCTATAAATTTTTCCTTTTTTTTAAAAGAATGTGTAGCTAATGGTGTTTCAGTGATTAGGGAGGGTAGAAAAATTCAGTTCCCTCTTGTAAGCTCTGCCATGTATATACAGAAATCTGTATTTGTCTCTTGCACTCCAGTGACTGGAGCAAGGAACATGTATTTTTCATGATCTTGGAGAAACAACTGTAACAAGGCAAGATTAACAAATGTTTGGTATATATAGATGGTATTTATGATAAACATATTGCTTAGTTTGCTCTTGGTCTGTTGTAACTGTGTAGTAACCTCAGGTTTTACATTGTTTGAACTGCACAGCATGCATGACTGAATGTTTCAGACCTAACAAATAAAACCTTACAAGAGAATAGGGTGCTGGTTATTGTGCTCTGCTGGGTCTCCAGACGATCACCATGGTATCAAACAACTCTCATTGTGTTCCTGGCATCCTTCTGAGGCTGGGTGTGATGCTAGGCCATTAACTTATTTATTCTTTTTTTACAGGCTGGTAATTGAAGCGAAGCCATCTAAGATTCAGTTCATAATGAAATTTCTTTTTATGCATTTGTAGACATACAGAGGGGTGCTTAAATCCCATTTTTCACCCGTCTTAGACGACAAAATACCTGTGTCATGTTCAAGATGTCTGTGACGGAATGGGGTGTTGGATTTGGGGCTAACAGGTCTTCTGCTATTAGCTTCCGTGGCAGTGCTCAAACCGCTTTTGTCAATAATGTTGTATTTGTTAACTGTACAGGTAGCAATTTCACCTCTAGAAATCCTACTTCTTTTAACACGCCAAGTTAATTTAAGCACAATTTCTTTCGACTTGTAAAAGCTTTGCTGTGCCACGGCAAAGGCGCTGAACTTGTGCAGACTGAAGCCCTGCCAGAGCCGGACGCTCCCCGCATGTTTTACATTCTCACTGAGACAGGCTGGATTTCAAGTCTTGGTGGGCAGTTTGCCTGCGGGGCAGGGGGGCCTTCCATGGGAGGGCAGGTTTGTAAGGAAAAACACTGGGCTGAAGACTTAGCTTTTATTCTTTGCCCTTTACAAGCAAATTAAATTTGACCATGTCGTTTTCCTCTGTGTTTGCTTGAGCTTTATCCTCAGTGACAAATGATGACAGAAATATTTTGTCAGCAAGTTTCTTCACCACGGACCATCTGGCCACTGAAACAGTAAGGTCACCACACTCTGCCAATCATTCCAAACTTAACACGGATTGCATATGTCTGTAACCTCACAAACCGATTTACAGTTGCTGTGCTGTAGACCAAGTTAGATTCCGTTTCACACACTCCTCCTCCAGTTTATACCCCTAGTAAAGGAATTCCAAGGAAAGATTTTGATATTTAATTCTTCAACTTTATTAGACTTTATTTCAAATCCAAATTGAGATTACGTCAACACGGAAGTACCATAAGGACATCAGTGCACAGAATACAAATGAGCTTTCTCTGTTAAAGGGGACCTCTAAAACATACATAATCAGCCTCAGTGAGATGCTTCTGGTTTGTATGGAGGAAAACTGATTATTTTACTAAATACATCAAAGTGTTTTCACAGCTGTGCTAAAACATTAAAAGAAAATCAGGTGCTTTTTCACAAGAGTTCAGCTGTGCAAAAAACCTGTTTTTTTCAGAATGATAACGTTGACTGGGTTTCCATCAGTATTATTCCAGGAACAGGAAAATACTGTTCCAAGAATAAAGGCACTTAACTTCAGCAGAATTTCTGAAGAATGTCTCACAAGCCAAGAACACATTTTTTATCTAGTCCTAACTCCCTTTCTGCTTATTAAAAAAAAAAAAGCAACCCAACTCTTTTGGCTCTGAATCTCTGAGAGGAATTCATATGTGGATTCACATGGGGATACTTGAAGGCAAACGGTCAGCAGATATTTAATACTATTTAGCATCTGATTGATAGCAGGTCCAATATTTGAAATTACGGGATATGTCCACAGAATCTGGGCTGGACAAGATTTACCAACATTAAAACAGAAACTATATGGAGAAAAACCCCCACATTTCATTATCTGCAGGAATAGTTAATGTTTTGGGAAGCCAGGGTTTCTTGTTTTGGCTAGAGATTTTTATGAGTGAAGTTTTTTGCCTTTAGCCGTCTCTTCCATTGAACTAGTTCCAGTACTTTCCCTCACAAGCACTTCACAGCACATGACAAGAGAATCCCCTGTTACAGCCTGTACGGTCTGTTAGAGAGTAATACTGATGTGCCTAAGTCAATCTCAGAGATGCTCAGATGTCTCTGTAACCAATAGAATGTTTATTTCTTTGTTAAAAAGTGATTAAGAACCAAACTGTTGGCCAAGAAAGTGATTATAATTAGGAAGCATGTAGCAGAGCCATTGCTGAAGCTACTGAGAACAGCCCCCTGCCTTAATATTCCCATTTGTGGCTTTCTCCAGATTTTATTTCAAATCTTTAACCATTTGAGTGAGAACATGACATGGTAAACTCTATGTTGAAAACACTTTGTGAAGAGAATACAATGTGCGTGTCTTTAGGCTGTAACCTGTGTTTTGACCAATTAAGGCACCCCAGCTGTCCCATCTGAGGACCTTCATGGAAGGTGCTGCTCCTACTTCCAGCAGATCTTGCCGGCTTCCCCGACCTGTACGGCCCCGCTGGCGACAAGCTGCAGGGCAGCTGGGAAGGCTCGGTGCTCAGCCTCCTTCACCCTTTCGGACAGGGTCTCCACCGTGTCACCAATCTTAACTGGAACTGCCTCTTGGAAAATGATTGCCCCAGAGTCAACCTCCTCCTGTAAAAGCAACAGCCAGAAAGTCTGTATGGTTGAAGGAGGAGAGAGAGGGGGGCTCAGCTGCACAATAATGAATGTAATCCAGCTGCCTCGAGGATCTGTTTATCATTATACTATTACAGGAAATATGAATTTTGGCTAGTGTGAAGAGCGCAGAAAAGATGCTGACACTCATGCTGGCCCATGAGGAGCTAACGGAAGTGTAAGGTTCAAAGAAAAAGCGGAGGGAGGCAGAACACCAGCAAGTAACGTTTCTGCTACAGAAAACAACAAAAGTCAGGTTAACTGGGGACGTGACAGGCTAAATTGGACAAAATGATGACATTTCACAGAATCACAGAATGTTAGGGATTGGAAGGGACCTCAAAGGATCATCTAGTCCAATCCCCCTGCCAGAGCAGCACCACCTAGATCAGATCACACAAGAACACGTCCAGGCGGGTTTTGAACATCTCCAGAGAAGGAGACTCCACAACCTCCCTGGGCAGCCTGTTCCAGTGTCCTGTTATCCTTACTGTGAAAGAAGTTCTTCCTCATGTTTTCAGTTCCGAAGAGTGAATTAGCCAAGTGCTGGCACAGAGCCGGACTAGAGGACCCAGCAGATCTTTCGTTTGCATGTTAATGAGGCAGATGCCTGTTGTTCACTTATTGTTTCTCAGCACACTGCCACCCAGAGAAGAAACCCTAAGTCATATCACTGAGAAAGGAATGCAATTTTTTCTTCTATCTGGAAAAATAGTTTTTTTGTCTCTTTTTCCAAGAGAAAGCAACAGTCATGAGAATAGATTTCAGGAGCAGTGGAAAAGGGGAGGATAATATGAAGAATCCAGCAGAAGAGGGGAGTCTACTTACTGTCAACCCTGAGAACTGAACAAGATGGAAAAAATGCTCCCTGAACTGATAAAAATGTGCATCTTCCAAGTTGAGAGATCTCTGGCTTTTGTTTTCTTAGTTTTTGAATAACATAAATTGTTACGTTTTTCTCTGTTTCCACAAACATTGGATTACTTCTTAACGCATCCAAGCTTCTTGTGCCATTTCCAGTGTTGTTGTCTTTTTTGTTTTAATTGAAAGCAACAATAAGGAAGGTCGTAGGATAAAACCTAAGAAGTTGGTGCTGTGTAGTAATAAAGATTTTGAGTTAGCCAAGGCCTTATATGAACTAGTACCTCCACTCCAACTGGTGGAAGGCAGCAGTGGGATGCTTAGGGAAGAACTTAACTTGGGTAAAGCTCAAACACCTGTATAGACTATTCATTTCCAGTTCCTTCTCCAGAGACTAAAGCACTATATTGTCTAATAATGTTATGAATGAACAAAGGAGAAAAAGTACTCAAACGTGATGGTATAAGGGTGTTCCAAGCAAGCTCTGAGGTGAAATCTTAAGACTGATGAATTCTAGAGTTAAAGGGAGGGAGAAGGAAGTACTTACAGCTACAAAGTGTACAGTACAGCCTGTGACCCGGACTCCAGCTTCTAACACCAATTTGTGGGCATTTGCTCCCTTGAAAGAAGGCAGTAGAGACGGGTGGATGTTCAGTATTTTTCCTGGAAAATAAGTGAGGTCATTGTCTTTTGGCATTCAGCCTTACCAGAGTGTTCAAAGTACCATAATCAACAGAGGAACAAAATACATCGGTGAAAAAGATTTTTTGCGACTTTTGCATACGCTTGTGTTTTGATGATACTGACAGATAACCAGCGCAAAGCATTTCAGAACATCTTGCCATTTTGGAAAAATCAAAGACAGCAATCAGTTACAATTAATTGCAAAGCATATTTCTCCAGTGACTAGTAATGATTAATTTTTTGATGTAGCTGTCCTTTCCCTCAGCATCTTGTTCTTCTCTGCTTTGATCACAAGCACAATCCTCTTCCTTACAAACTCAGCCCCGGGAAGAAACTTGGTGCAGTTTCAAATGAGGTAACAGACCCCCTGTGACAAGGCAAAAATTCTTTAGCCTGGACTTTTCCTCCACACCTGTCTTGGCTTAGTAAAAGACAACAGCTGCTCATATAGGAGCCCTTCTCTCTGCCCTTCTGAAAAGCATCTGTCTACCACTACTAGTTTCCACACAGTTGGCTGGGGGATCCTAAAATCGATAATGTAACCTCTAACGCTCAACTAAGTGCGACCGTGGATACAACCCTGGGAAACCTGTACTTCACGTTTCCCTTAAAAGAGAAAGCATATGCCTGAGTTCCTACCTAGCTGTAAAGTAGGAGAGAGTGGCTGCCCGTGACCTCAGGGTCTCGCTGCTACAGCAATGCAATGGTTAAACCATGAGAAAACCTTCTTTCTTCTGGCAGACTTGCCTTGTCTGCTCCTAGTATGTCTGTGACAACTCCTCCTGCCCATTCTGGACCAGAGTGAAGTCAAAAGGTGCTTGACAGCCCCATATTTGCTCTTATCTGATTCAGTACAAACCCTTACAGGATTAAAAAAAGTGCCCATCGATGCTATTTATATCACAGTATGCTACGCCCACGCCGTCTCTGCATGGCTCCTGTTTAGGAAGACTGTATGCCATCAGGATTCACGGAACACCACCTAAATGCCAAGCAGCGAGACTGAGCTGGCAGAGGCAGCAGTGTACCGAAATAGAGGCTCATGATTTTGTAATGTGAAGTGAAGGCCATTTCTGGCAGCACGACAAGAAACTTGCACCCTCACTGCAATTCACGCAGATACTGACCTGTGCAACTTGAAGAGGCAAATGTATTGACTGATCTTCAGCAGTACCTCAGATGCGGTTTGTATCTCAAACCACCCCTTTGTAAGCATCAGCATCTCCCTGCCTGCTGCTTGAGCAAAAAGGTGTTTGGGACAGTGAGCTGAAAACAACACTGCACTTCTCCCTGAGTCTCCCCAGTTTCTCATTACAGTACTGTCAGAAACTGTTCTAAAGGAAAGTGGTTTCCCATTTTTGTTTCTTAATCTGTCCTTTATGTTAGCATAAAAAATTAGCATTTCAGGGCCATTAAACAAGAGTTTCACAACTAATTTCACACTCTATGTCCTTTTGACTGGGAGAGAAAGAAAAAGTAACAGTTTTTAAGAGAGCAGCAATGAGAATTGATTACTCCTGGATAGTTTAGGGTAGTCACTGCCTAGGCATGGCCGGGTCAGAGTTTTATGGCAGGCTCCTGTTAGCTGGCACAGATCCCCGAGCTGAACTGAATGTTTGAGCTCACATCTAACACCTAACTGAAGGATACTCTTGGTCAGAGCTCAGGTAGGTATCTGTTTTCAAGCTCAATTCAGAGCTGGATATTTAAAAAATGAGTTAAACGTGCTGTACTGCAGAAAGTATGTTCTTTTGCTCTTGGGCCAGTCGTATGTGTAATGCAAATCCTGCACTGTGCAAAGCGATCATCAGCGCTGGAAGCGCTCTGTCCCTAAATCAGAGGGAACTAAACTCATCCTTTATTTGCACAAGATTTCTGCATTAGAGGAAACTCTCTCCCATCCGCCTACACAGATACTCTACTCAAAAAACATTTCTCTTAGGGAGGGATTCCTCTCTCCTAACTACAGCTGTCTACAGCACAGACATTTACACCTTCCTCCTCTGCACTCTGTAATGAATGGAGAGAAACGAAACCAATTCATCTGACTTTAGCGGTCAGCTGTAACATAAAAGGAATTGCCTCCTAGGAATGCCTGTTTTGCTCCACTGATTTCCAAGAGAGCTTCAAAAGTAGTTCAGGTGTAAATGGTCTGTGTCATAGACACACCCAGGGTAACACAAAAGTCATCACATGAGCAATAGAGGCCACCGGCAGAGCTGCAACGTATAGGCTGACCAGCCTGTAACCGGTATGAGCAAGAACTAAGTTTAAGTAACTGTGACTGAACACAAAGCAGAGCAAACAGTGGGAAGAGCAGCTGCCTCTGCGTGATTCAGGACTCCCTAAAAGAAACAGAAAGAGATAAGAGGAGGAATGTAACAAATGGGAGAGGGAGAGCAGCCGCTGAAGTAGGCAGAGTCAGCCTCTAACAAAAGACCTAGAAAAATCGTAAAAGATAAGCAGAATGGAGACACTTTGGACAAACAAGAGCTGAATCCGCCTGTGAAAACACGCCACCCTTGGATTCCGACAGCTCCTAGGATTTCTGACCAGAAGACTGGCAAGGTCTTGTTAACAGGGGCTGCATATTGCTGCCCAGTTTTGCAGTTTGATACGAAGCCAAAGCAGCCCATCTGTTAGGGGAAGGAATTCTAAGTGGCTGGATGTTCACCTCTCCCCAACCAACACCTACTGCTTAGGCAACAATTTGCCCTGCACCTCATGATTGCAGAGGTCTAAAGTCTTCAGTCTCATTTTAAAATATTCTCTAATAAATCAAAGACTACAATATCTGTATTTGCCCCTGGCTTCCTTAAACCTCTGTGGAAATTATAAAGGGAAGGAGAAAAATATTGCCTTTCTCTTTCCCACCCTTTTCCTTACAAGATGGGAAGAGTCTAGTTTCCTGCAAGCCCAGAATTAATATGGTCCCTTTTCTATATTTTCTTAATTTTCTTTTTCCTGAGGATAAGCTATAAATTTTTTTTTTTAAATGTATACACTACTATGCCGTGCTTACCTTCCCATTTTTTCACAAAAGGACCTGACAGTATTCGCATAAATCCAGCCAAACAGATCAGTTCAACTGAGAATTCTTCGAGGACCTTGTCAACTGCACTGTCAAACTCAGCGCGACTTTTATACAATTTGTGGTCAATAACCTGTGATAACCCAAAAGACAAAGAAATGTGGACATAGTGTTAATTTAATCTAAAAGCCCTAAGAGCACAACAAAATGGTACCTTGGAGTAATAAAAAAAAACCCAAGTAAATCTCCACGTGTGGCTCGAGTTGGGTGCGCATCCACAGCAAGAAGAACAGTTCATAAACGCATGCAGCTAACAGACAAACATGCAGTCTTTACTCCTGTTCGTACAGAGCAATCATCAGAATAAACAGGAGTTTGTTCTATTAGGCCCACAGCTGTAGGTCACAGCATTTTGACACCATTTAACAACCTACAAATGTAGGTCATTAAGATAACCTAAAGTCTTACAATGATTTAATTCAATTTAAGGCCTCTCACAGTTTTAAGCAGTTAAACCTTGCTGAAAATTCTATCACAAATCCTTGAAAGACAGGCTAATCACAAACTCATAAAACAGTCTCTACTGAATAAGGTTAACATAAGTTATGTATTTTCCATCCAGGATACATCCTCTAATTTAAGCAGGAAGAAGGCAATGCTACATAACCTAAACCAACCATAGTCTTTTAAATAAAAGTACCTGTTAATCCCTACCAGATTTACCACCAGGGTTTTGAACAACCAGAATGGGTCAGCTGAGAAGGTGGCAGAGGGTGCTAGAAATAGAGCCCAGCTCAACACTGGGCTGAACTCTGCCAGGAGCTACCAGGGAATAACCAGCACGGCATGTACTCCTCAGTGCCTCTGTTTCACCACTGACTCTCCATCTTAACCACTGAGACCACCACCTCTCTCAGACCATATTTTTTTTCCTTATTATATGTTTTTTCTTCTCCTGCATACCATGGACATATTCTACTTGTGATCTTTGTGTACTCCCAAGTAAAAGACAGCAGCGCTAACAATCAGTTAACTGCTACTATTAAAGTTAATAACAAAGCCTGTGTTGGGCCCTCATCTTCCCTATGTCTGTAGTCATCAGCAAAAAGTGTCTGTAAAATGCTCCTAAGTCAGAACAACAGCATTTCACATCTGTTAGACAAATGACTGCACAAAAAGGGCAAAGCAATGCAGCGCTGGATCCAATGACACTAAGGGAAACACACTTGCTTCGAATGAATCCTGGAGAGCCTGAAGCAATGTCCAGGGAGTCAGTGGAAGGTCCCACTGAGTTTGACCTCTCTATTTCATTCAAATGAACTACTGTGTATGTTTAGCATGTAATTTTAAAATTAAATTCAGATAAAACAGCTTGTTACTTTAGCGTAAATGCACTACAGTTAGATAAACGGCAAAGTTTAAACTGTAACTGTGAAAGTTTTGTGCTGGTTTAATATAATGGCTGTTCCCCAAATCATCAGGATTGCTGGCAGCATCTCCGAGAAGCAGAAAAGGAAACATTTCTGCCTCCCATGTTACGTAGTTTGCCCAAGGACACAAGTTCATGGCAGACCAAAAAATAAAAGCTAAGGCTTCCCATCAAACCATCTCTTGCTCTAGTAAAACTCATTATCTCACAGAACCTTCCTGCTATAGTCAGAGCTAATGATGGCTGATTTTAAAAAGATGAGAAATACTTACCCTTGTAGGAATACCAGCTCGTTCAGCTTTCCTTAACCCCTCCACACCGGCTTTGTTAGAAACAACAAGAACTATTTCAGCGAAACTAGTGGGCTGCTTGGTGCTCTTTATGAGGGCTTCCAGGTTTGTGCCTATGAGTGAAAAAATAATTCAAGAATATCAAGTCGCACCTGGAGAATAAACATAGTTTACAGCTAGAATAGGTTTTAAATAAGCAGCAACATGGGTGAGACCCAATCCAAAAAGCATTGATGTTAACAGTAATCCATTTTTCATTGATTTTTCTGGGAACTGAATTTTACAGCTGGAGGCTACAGGGCTTTTACTAGCAATTAAATTTGTAAACTGTAATTTCTGGAACTGGAATGATGGTCTACTTCTTAGTGAGTGAGAACACTGGAAACTCTAGGAGTGCCTATATGGCAAGAAGAAGTTCCGATCTGTGTGTGAAACAATGCTGCTGTCCCTATAGTGCAATGCAGTGGTTGCTTGTACCTAGAGACATGCAGAAATTCGTAGATAAAATAAGCACAGATGCGATTCATAGTCAGTTTGCAGTAGAGGTTAAAGATCATTCCGTTTGTGACTGAAGTTAATCCAAGGGCAAAATCTATTCTGCCTGTTACTGAAAGCATGTTAGAAGTATACCAGAGCTTCCATGGAGAGTTGCAGGGACTTCAAGAGATTTTGAATCTGAGCTGAAGTTCCTTTTTCAATAGTCTGTTTTACACTGTAGTAAAGAATATAAACTCTCACCTGTTCCAGAAATAAGGACAGCAACCTTCACTTTGTTTGTCTGAATTTTGCCTTGGATATGGCTGTGCACAGACAGCGACCTATTTGCTTGCAAGGCTCGAAGCATATTAAGGACTTGAACATGGGCAGAGCCTGAACACGTACAAAAAAAAAAAAACAAAACCAAAACCAACACGTAAATAAAGACAGAAACAGAGAGAAGAGAAAAATACACATGAAAAGAGATTAGTGGCACTGCTTTACTTCTCATTATTTATTTATTTATAGTTCTGGTGACATCTGACATTACTAAGCACATGTTCTATGAACTAAGACTGAAGTCGTGAGGACTGTCATTTTAATATCCTTTGCAAAAAAGTCATGAAAGTGCTAATTAAGAGATTTTCAGCTAACCTCCATGGAGACTCATCAGCTAAGGAATTTACTTCTGCCCTTTTTTTTGTAATGGAAAATTAAAATCTAATAACCTTTTTGTAGGGAGATGACTTTCCCGATCAGCCAGGCTGTTTCATGTCTCTGTATGTCCTTGAGGACCTGCTGAGCCAGCTCCTTCTGAACCACCAAGACAGCACCGATCCCACAATTAAATGTCCGTGTCATTTCCTCCTCAGAGAGGTTCCCTTCTTTATGGAGCCAGCAAAAGATTTCGGGAATCTTCCAGGTAAGAGCATCTGAAGAGAATTGAAAATACAAATGAAGAGTGGAAATCACTACCAATGGACCAATGGTACGATTATTAGAGCATTAAGAGGCAAGATGTGGATGGAAAGCACAGACAAAGTCCCACAGCAGCATTAGCTTGAGTGAAATCAGCTTCCATGCACAGAAACAGGGTGGTTTTTCCTTCCTTACTCAACAAGACTTGGGAGTAGAAAGAAGTGTCATATTTCTCTATTGCAATCTGTTAATCAGTAATTCAAAAAGGGCTCTGAGGCAGTCTTTGGAAAATTCTCTTCTTGAAGGTGACAACTCTGCTTCTAGAGAAACTATTGTTCCAGAACGATAGCCTTAAAAACTGTCACAAAAGTCGCACACCGCCCCCAATTCCAACAAGGTAAGGATGATTTACAGCAGCACAAGAAATGCTTCTGGACATGCCACTGTAAAGGAACTCCAAAGACAGCAAGTTTCTTTCTTGTCATGTTATATTTAAAATGATATTATCCCCATTTAGATATACTAGTGCCCACTGTGGACCACTGTTCAATTGACAAGTAGAAGAACGATTCAGATGCAGGTCTGGAGTGCAAATGTCAGTATTAGTTCCCTTATTTTATTCTACAAATCAGTGAACATTGCATCACCTAAAGTAATTTACCTTTCCATACTACACTTTCTCTGTAGGTGAAATACTGTTTCTATCATACCTGACGAGACTGTGGTGATGATTAATTAAGGTATGCTGAATACAATGAGATGTACTCGAGCTGGCAACCATATTTGAATGCCAAAGACTTCATGAGTATCATTTAATTAGCAATAAGTTTGCAGGTTATTGCAAATGGTGACAGCTCACTTTGGGTTCCTTTTGAAGTTGTTCTAGTTTTGCAAGTATAGAGTTTCCTAACATATCCAATCCAAAACACCATCAGGGAAGTGAATTCAATGGGCAACAGTCTTAAGGCTACAAAGGGTTTTGACTGGCTCTGTTTCAGGCACAAGGAGAAAATCAGCAGCAAGGAAGAAAAAAGCAAACATATCTGGACAGGCAAGTCTAGCTCTTAAGAGTGCGAGTCATAGAATCATAGAAT